GTTCGTGGATGGTGGGGGGGCGTGAAAACCCGCGCTTAGTCAGCTCTAAACTGACGCCGGGCGTCAGTGTATTGGGACCCCCCTCCCCGTGCCCTGTTTTATCCACAACCTCTGTTCTTTAAATCTTCTTTCAATCACCTTGCAGAAATTGTGGGTTCAAGCCTTTATACAAGTAATTAAAGGGGCCGATACAATGGCTGTGCAGTGCTCAAAATGCCAAAAGTCGTTTCGTATCCAAGCAGATTATAAGTAAGGAAACTTTGTGCTCATTACCGAGAGTTATGTTTGATCTAACATACTTATAGTCGACACCGCAAACAACATGACCGACCTTTCAAATGTGTAGTATGTCTTAAAGTCTTCTCTCTTAAAACCAATCTCGATCGGCATAGGCTCTCTCACATAGAAACCGAAAAGAAGTGGACAGTACAATGCAGTTGGCCCGGTTGCAAAATGAAAACAGTGAGGGAGGACTATCTTCGCAAACACATGATGAAATCCCATCTCAAAACGCAAATGACAGGCATTCCCGCGGAGATTGTCCGGCTGGAAGCAAAAGTTGAAACACTTTATCAGCAATCAGTTCGCAAAGGAAGAGCATCTGTAGCCACACTGCGTGTAGCCAAATTTCGACCAACGCTCCATGAAGCTGTAGCGAAGGGGGATGAGGAAGAGGTCTCCAGAATGGTTGCAAACGGTGCGGATGTTAACGCCCAAATTCCGAGTTTGGACGTCTCAGAGGACTATTCGATTCGCATGGCGACCGGGAAAAATTGGCAAGAAATCCCACTGTCTCTGAGCGTACTTAATCGGCACGAAAATATCTTCCGGATACTCTTGGATATAAATCCAAGTAGGAAGAGTCTTCTATGGGCATTTCATGCTTGTATCAGAACCGAGAACTGTGTCTTGGCCGATGAATTGATCAAAAGAGGCGTGGATGTTAACGAAATCGATACTGAAAGAGGCAACTGCTATCCATTGGAAATAGCAGCTGCTGGAAATCACAAGGAAATTCTCGAATTGCTACTACGTAGAGGCGCCATCACCGAACCATCCTCCAATCCAATGGAGGGAAGCCCTCTCATGATTGCAGCAGGTCAAGGGCACGCAAATAGTGTTAGATTGTTACTTGAGAATGGAGCCGCTATCAACCATGAAGGGGGAATATATGGTACTGCTCTTGGAGCAGCGTCATTTCATGGCAAGGAAGGGGTTGCCAAGTCGTTACTCGAGAAGGGAGCAAACCCTAACATACGATCGAAATACTACGGCACATCACTGGCAAGGGCCAGGTTTTGGAACAGACCAGGAATCGAGGCGGTCCTCATGCAGTACGGGGCGACGGAATAGTGGAGGAGTAAGCTGCCAGCCTGAAATCCGAACCGCACCGCGAATGTTGGGTTTTCCACGTCACTTTTGGCACTATTTTTGAGAATTTGGATAGTTTCAAATGTTCTTTCAATGATGGGAACAGTGGGAGGGTAGAAGAGGTCATAAGATGAGGATTACGGGGTGGAAGATGATCGAACTGGCGGCTATGGTTGCGAAGTAAATTTCGTGACATTTGGGAGTAAGAGACGAGGGAACTTCACGACTTCTATCTTTTTGGTTTCTTATCTTCATGGTTGATTGTTTTTCATGATGGGGGAAATGCGAGTAGCACCGAACAACCTCTTGTATTTTCTTTGTACAATTTATCTATCAACAATCAATCTCTTACCCCCCTTCACGTTCATAAAATAAACAAACAACTACTCTGCCTACCCAATATGACCTCCTATGTCAGTTTCTGGCCCTCGACATCTAAATTACTTGACCAAAGTCCCCCTTACATGCGGCAGAGCCGAATATTCGGATTCCCCTTCAGGTTGAGAAAGGTCGACTTTACTCCACGGCCCAGCTCGCTTCAATAGCGCCTCCGTGTCCTTCGTGATGGAACATCCGCCGATGAAATGAGGCCAGATGAAGTTGACGGAATCTGTTGCATAGAAGTTGGCATTAAGATTTTATTCATAGACAGGAAGATAGTGTGCGGGAGGACGAACATTGATACCACCCGATCCATCGGCCTTCCTTGGCTTTAACATGTTCATGAACAATCCAACAACCACCTTGCTTCAAACATCCATATAAACCTTTGATAATACCTTCAGCCTGAGGAATAGAACACAAACAAAGAACAGTGATTATAGAATCTGCTCCATGCCAGTCATCTTCATTCTTCATCCATTCATCCAGATCCTCGACACCAACAGGAGCGATGATGTATTTGGAGCTCAATCCCACTTCTGAGATTCTTTCACGAAGACGGGCATGATGTCCGACGTTTGGTTCGATCCCGTATATCTTGGTTATCTTGGAAGGGTCGAAATGAGGAAGCCATTCTCCGCTTCCGGGACCAATGTCGAGGACGACGCCGTGCGCGAGTTTCAATAAGGGTGAGACCCGAGGGGAGTTTCCTTCGCGTACAAGGGGGCCATATTTGGACCAGAAGCGAGCGAACCACTGGGTAGGGAGTCAGTTGGGAGTTCGTTATTTTGGTCTCCGTGATGAAGTGAGGATATATATGAGATCAAATTGACAGTGAAGACTTGCGTAGAAAACAAGATGCTATTATTGTACAAGAATATAAAATGATAGAAAGTAGGGTCTGATTAAAACACGAGCCAGAAGTGGGGAGAGATTAGGAACGGAACTTCTCCAAAATCATAAACTCACGGCTTCCTTGAATCTGGATGGCGACAACAGCGTGCGAAACTCGGAATCAACGAGAAGAGACAGTATTGTTCCTGGAATATAAGAAGCGGCCAGACTCATAAAACGAATCGGGAAAAACAGACAAGTCGCGAGCTCGAGGAATTTGTCAAACATTTTGGGATACGTGAGAGTGGAGAAAATTAGATAGGGAAGAGAAAGGAAAATGATATCGATTTTGGAAATTTATATACATGACCCCCTGGTCAGCTCTAGTCATGCATGAGGCTGGTGCAATCTAGCCACATTTTGTTACGCTCAGACCGAACACACCTTCTTATTTTGGTACCCAGATCGTATGGGGTTTGAAAGTGGAACAATATTTACAATGATTGTTGGTTTTTAGGAATGTTGATGTCGTGGTTGTATGTTTGGCGAAGTGATCTGAAGGGGGAATTTCGGCGATTGGAGATAAAGATCAAAGCTTAGGCCTTGGCACTGAGGCATCCATCTGAATTTCTGCGCATCAGTGCAGTGAATGTGAAGATAACAACACCACCCACGCCCCAAATCGCAAGAACTGCATCTCCTGCCGACCCAAATGCCTTGCGCAACACATCTCCGCCGATATCTTCACCCTAATCGACGACCGTGATGTCGGAAACTCCAGAAGCACCACCTGGTGCGCAATTCCAACCTACCCCTCTAGAGCCCCTCCTAGAAACTCCGACAATGCCAGGTCGAGAAGAGGAAAGCGATTCAGACGAGTGGGAATACGAGTATTCAACAACAGAAACTGAGGTTTGTAAATTTTCAGTCAATTGTTCCGTGTCACAAAATGCTGATTTGTCTCGAATTATAGACATTCTATCTCTCTGTTGACCTTACCGTCCCTGAAGAGCCCATCAAGCAAGAGCCACGGTCAACCGCGCCTGTGGAAGATACTAGCGTATGGCTCAATCCTATGTTGGGAAGAATCAACAGACAATTGGCGCCTCCTACGACCCCAAATCCTTCCGCTCCCGAATTTCGAACTGCTGGACACAAAGGTCGTAAAGACGGGGCCAAACAGAACCCAGATGGAACGACAGATGATTCTTTCTCGTGGAAGCCAGACTTCGCATATGATCCCTCCGAAATTCAGATTTTGGGCTTGGAGAGCAGAAAGCCTGTCATATCCTTTTGCGGCCGTCTTTTCCAATGCGAATGGACTGAACACATAGGCTCAGAATTACTTTTCACCCGGCGTACTGAGGAGCTGGAAGATCTTCCCAGTATACGCCACCTCCATGGAAATATTGACCTTCTCTGTATAAACGCAGCTCGGCTGGTCTCTGAAAAGTTGGACACAGAACGTGTGAAGCGCAGTTTACCAAAGGATGTTAAAAGACGTCTTTCGCGACGATATGATAACAAACTTAGCGACTCAGATACCGCAAGTCAAACCTTCTTCCTGGACAAACTTGCAGAAGCCAAGCGAGAAAAAGGCGAGAAAGATATCATCAGCGCAGTGGTGGAAGGAAGACCGCATAATCGAGATTGGCACAGATTCGTGGAAAGACGTCTGATGGATGAGAGAGCTTACTGGGAGGATATTCTCGAGAATGGACACGATGAAGAGGAGTTGGAGGATGCTGCGGCACGATTAGAGGAGATAGACCGCGAGCAGGGCATGACTCAACCGCGGGAAAAAGATACAAGAGTCAAGATTTCACGTGAAAGAAAGAGTTTGAAGCATCTTCGACCACCTGGGGCCGATCCTGATGAAGAAAAAAGGCTGAGAAAGAAGGGACCTGACGGCAACTTCTATGAGGTTGGTGGGCCTTCTGTTCGTCTTCCGAGCCTCCCCTCTGACTCAGGAGATGACCGGTCGGATGAGGATCGAAGTATGGATGAAGACGAAGAAATGGGCGAGGTCTATGCTTCTGACGAGGAGATGTTGGACGGCAATGATGAAGATGGGGGATAGAATGGGGTTTTCGTGGGATCTATGATGCGGATGATGATATTGCAATGGGTATGATTCATTCATCATAGACCAAATGAAAACCAAAAATTGCAAGAGATAAGTAATACTCATCCGTTTTCTAATTTACTTGCATTTTCGAAAGGTCGGCTTGCTTCTCTTGCTTTAACTTACATCACTCGCATGGTTGTGTGCCCTATCTACACTTCTATATTGGTCTATTAATGCATTCTCGTTCCTTCCTAGGGCTCTGATTCATCAACGCGATAGACTATCCTTGGCATGAAGGGCTAAGTATCTGTGTCGATTAGCGGCAGATACTAAAATCATGGTATCATCTACGTTAGCTTATGAGTCAGTGCCAAGAAGTAGAACCGTGACGGAATGGCTAGGTAGCTTTAGTTCTGTGAATTGGCAATGAATTGTAATATATCCAACTCACTTCAATCAAATTTTAACGTGGACTCACCTTGCACATGTACTTAACTAGTCAAACGCTTCCATCCCTTTCGTTAGAATCTCAATCAATTATTATAGGACATTTTGCACGTGTTTGGTTCTCTCTGAGCGATATACCCAGTCATCTTTTCGAGCGTTTGAATCTAATTTGCTCCCTAAATTTTCCTTATATTCTCGCTATATACCGATCTTTTTTCAACCGTACTGTACAAGAGCACCATATACATAAAATGGAGGAAGTTCAGTAATCAACCACAGGGGAAATGATGAACAGTGAAGCAGGAGCCTCTACCTGGTTTCTGGATCCAACCTCTGTCAACAAACACGCAAAGTCGAGTGGTGTAGAGGGTGTTTTCTTCAAGGATGACTTTGGAAATCGTTGTGTTTGGGGCAAAGGTATGTTTCCTCAGCAGAATGATTCCATGGAGCCATCAACTAATTGTATGCCAGTCATTAAAGATCACTCGAAGGAACAGACGGAGAAGAATTATCGCAAGAAACATACTGATTTCGAATCACGGTTGAAGTTTATGCCTTTGAAAAAACCACTCAGTCTCGCTCAGATAGATGAACCCCGATCCTCAAGATATTGGGAAGCTCTTGGATGTTTGAGTGGAAAGGGATGCAGTTTGCCAGAGAATGGCAGACACCGTCCGCATCTATTGAACTTGCCATATGGTACGTTGCATATTTTCTACATTGTTTAATAGAGCCCTTTACTCATATAAATGTGCAGAAATTCTAGAACAAATCCTAAAGTGTATTCTCATTGCACCCGAAGGAGTATCTATCTTCCCCCACACTTTAACCACCAACTCGAAAAGTCACTCCGAGTTCTTTTCATACACCGGCTTCTATAGCATTCGACAATACCCCGAGGAGAAATATATCGACAACGACAGCGAGCTTACCTGGGGCTCCCTTGACATTTCTTCACCCTTGTACACTTGGAAGCAAAAAGAGGACAAGAAAGGGAAATACTTCGAAATGAGGAAGACCTATCGTCCCATAATAGACGCTGGTATTCTCCGGACTTGCAGGGAGTTATACCGCAGGGGCTCGGAGATGTTCTTCACGAAGAACAAATTGAGTTTCTGGATGCCCAACGCCTCTTCGAAATGGAGTCCGCCTACACTACTTCCACATGGGAATATAGTATATAGACCCAATCCCATTCTACCATGGGATTGCAGGAGATGGGTCAAGATTGACCAAGCCTTAGTACAAATCCAACACCAATGGCCGTTACCCATGCTCGAGGGCTTCGTATACTACGATCCTTTCCTACGGTATCTCCACACCATTGGCCCCATCCACGCCGCGAAGATGAAGAACTTGGAATTCGAGGGCGTCATCAGACTCCATCAGTGCGAGGATAAGAATTGCCAAGCTGATGCGTGTCTGATGCAATGCTTGAATGTGTACGTACATTTCATTGCGAAGTTCTGTAGGAGTATTGAGAAAGTGGAGATCCATACTGTTCTGGATCAGCATTTTGATGAACCCGTTGGAGAATTTCTTCATCCTTGGGGCCCGGGTACTATTGAGGAGACTTTGGATCATGTTCTTGAGGCGTATGTTCAGCGGATTCCTACGTTGAAGGAGTTTGTAGTGTATGATTCGTTCGGGAATAGGGTTATTGATTGGTCGTTGGAGCTTGATGGGTTGAAGAGGTTCATTGAGAATGCCTCTGGAGGAACTAGGTGGAGGAGGGACGAGCCAGTGGCTGTAGCTGTCCAAGATAACGTCCAGAAGTGTGGATTCTGTAAGGAGGACCATGCGACGGAGGAATGTTTCAATCTTTGTGCGTTTTGTGGCAGGTTTGGTCATTGGAAGAGAACTTGTATGGAGTATTGGGATTGTTGGAAGCGCGATTGGCTTGAAGAGGACCCTGAGACGGATAATTGGCTGAAGACTTATCCGGATAGTGATCGTTGGCCGTGGTATTTTGGACAGTAGTGAACGTCGCGATTTATTCCACAAGATTGCCATCACTTGTCCACATCTGCAAGGCTTTAGGGATAATAATATGATATGCTCTACATACATAGAATGTGGAACAATGACCACACTATGTCGGATACATTAAGAAATCACCCGACTGTTTGATTGTTGTGACGGCACAATCCTGGGATAAGCAGGTATCGCTGTTGAGCCATATCCACTTGCAAACTGCCTCTTTCTGGTTTTTCTACGGCCATTCTATCTAATTTCTACTGCAAGCACAGAAAATGAAGCTCCTTTTTCGCACATCTATTCTCTCTGCCTCAATTCAGTTATTCCGGAATTTCAATTAAGCGAGAAGGAAAGGGGTAAACAGCCAAGCGAAGCCAAGGCCTTTAACTCCTCAACTTACCCACGACTTGAGTATTCGTCTTGTCGATCTCTAGTAAACCACGACTAGACTTTACGCACACCTCTATTTGAATCGACTTGTTTCTTTTTCGGGTTCCATTCCATTCCTTGCCTAAGAAGGGATGGTATCTCGATATCAGCGACTGATTATTTCCCTAATAAGATTACAACATATTAACGAAAACTAGGTATGAGGTTAAAGCCTTCTGCTAAGCTGTCCTGACGCCAGTATACGGAAAACCTAAGCTGTAAACTACAGCGGATTTGGTCCATGTCATCTCTGTCGACTGTAACGTCAAACCCATCTATACCTAGCGCTCTTACGACAATGAAGTCATTAGGACCCCAACGACCATCGGTCATCGCATTTACTCTTTTATATCTAACGGACTATCCTTCTATCACCTATAATTGCATATGGTCACCAGTCCAACTTCATCTTTCAAAGAACCTAGGTAGGTATTTGCAAACGCATTCCAGCTTGGACACGATATCGACTGTCGTGGAAAGTGAGTTGGGTCCTCGAACTTTACTCTAGGGAAAGAAGAAGAAGCCATTTGCAAATACGTAGCTACTCCGAGAAAGACTTCCCTACTGTGGTTCTTGCGTCGTCGGCAAAGCAATTGATTACCTTGTATTAAGCTGCTAATAGGTAGGTATGGGTAGCTATTTAGCATTCTACCACTCTGAATTTGGGAACTTCTCAAATCAACCTTGGAAATCCAAATATGCGACCTGGGAAATATTATAGGTGCGCAGTCTAGAATGAGCATAGTCTCATGTGGTCTCACTCGCATGTGGTTCACGTGCGAGAAGAGTTGGATCCACGATATCGCGAATGAACCGTGGCGTTCCGGCGTGGTCCCATCGTACCTTAGGGGAAACCCCTATATATAAAACGGTAGTAATATAGTTATGCTACGGGTATACTTTGTAGGGGTCATTAGGTATAATAGTTGTAAAGCTTACAACAGATACAAATATCGCTAGTTATAAGTAAATCAACCGTCGATATTTATAGCTAGATAACTTTATAACAACGGATTTATATATCGACGGTTGTTTCACTTATAACTAGTAATATTTACATCCGTTGTAAGCTTTACAGCCGTTCTATCAATTTGCAACCGTTACGTAACCGTCGTATAACCGCTACATAACCGTTGCGTATTTTATAACTAGCTATATCTACGTACGTACCCCTAGGTAGGTACGCATACGACGCTAAGACTCTAAATGCCTTTAATTAAAGAAGGCACCCACCTACCTACTTAGGTACCTACCTACCTACTTAGGTACCTACCTACCTATACATTACCTAGGCTGTCGCACCCGACTAAGGTACCAACGTACGACTACAACTAGAGTACGCCTATATAATACGCGCAGGTAAACTTTACCTAAATCGATTGAATCTACTACTTATTTACTTATAGCGTTAAAAACCAGACTCTCCTACACTTCCGAGCACTTACATATAGACCCCCGAGGAATATCTGTAGGGAGTCTGCTTCCTAGGATTTTTATAACCGTTGCGTAACCGTTGTATAACTGTTATAAAATCTATAACGGTTATAAACGCTATAATAGATATATAGTAGTTATAAAGTAGTAACCGATGTAAATCCTATAACCGCTCTATTCTATAATAGTTATATTTAGAATAATAGTTATATATTAAGCTAGTTACTCTCTTTACGCTAGTTATAAAAATTAACTAGCGGACTATAGTTAATTAAGATAACTATCTTATTCGCTAACTAGTTATAATATATAACTAGTTGTAACTTATAACAATATTAGTACAGCTATAAATTTTTATAATAGTTGTAAATTTCACAACCGTACTACTATAGATTATAAAAGGGAGGTTTTCCTCTAAGGTAGATGTAAGAGCGTCGTAGGTTCGAGTCCGCGTTTGCTGCTTCCCCAGCCTGGCCTCGGCCAGGCGGTCTTGAATGCAGCGGGTTGGGTTGAGTTCGCAACGCTCGAGTTCCAAGTTCCTCAACTGGATGACCGTCGCTCTGCTCTTTCCCTCGCAGTCTCATCGTCTCGTCTCATCCCCTCCTGGGTCACCTCAACCTCGTCCCACCAAGTCCCCAATGCCAAGACCAAGGTTCAATCAAGAAAGGAAGGAAGGTCTCCCGTCTACAAATTCAAAAGTATAAACCCCCCCCCTCGCCCTCTCCCTCCTCAACCTTTATAGGTACCTACCTAGGTACTTTCCATTTGACCATCGAAAATGGATCGCGGGGGGTGATGGACTTTGGTGAGAAACCACCCAGTCCTTCACAACCGCGGTTCGTGATGACCAACCTAACGGAACGCAACCCAATGGATTGCAAATCTGCCCACACCATCAGCATTTCCAGTAGCATTCGTGATGCGAATTCCGTACCGACATATTGCGTATTTTCTCCGATCGTGGCCAAGATGCAGCTCACATTTGATTCCACATCTGGAAATGGCCAGCTCTTGGACTTCAGCTGAGTCTCAGCCACATCCGACTGAAAGCATTCTTTTTCTGAATTACGCGAGTACCTTTTCTAAGATACCATGACGGTAATACCTACAGTGCCGCATCGATGATTAATGGGGATTTGTATAATTGATAAGATCTGTTGCCGTCGCAGTTCGCTAGATCCAGTACCAAATCATATTGTGGACCAAGTTTATAACTGTGGTGTCGTGATTTTTTCGCTTGGTATAGGTAGGTAAAACAACACCTACATGCCGTGTGACGGATGTCTTGCTTGACGAGGCGTATATTGATTTTTCCCTTTCAAGTCATCGGGATGTGCCAACCTGTCAATATGGTTTCCCAACACACACATACTTGGGTCGGAATCAAAACGTACCTTCCTACCTGCCCAGGTGGTATGACAAGCTAAAAATATGCCAGTGTTTGGATATAACAAATCACTTGCTGAACGATACAGCATGCTATAGTCTAAACGCCAACACCCTGAAAATGCTTTCAACTTCTTCTCCATTCATTAGCTCGAGCGTTTCAGTTTATCATAATGCTATCAAGTCACTTGTTTTCAGTGCGGCGGAGCTGCTTCTTGCCTTTAGCGTTTGGAAATTCTGGAGTTTGATAGCGGCCAAAGGAAATCTTTTTGCATCGTATCTCATGTAAGTTCGGTGATCGAGAACGGATGAGAAGGTAGTGTGAAAGTGGTCTAACGTATCATCCAGGTTTATGGAAGATCCAATCCAAATGTTCTATTTCATAATATCCCGTGGATTCTCGAGGGCGAGTCTGGTCCTATTCCTCTTCACCACTGTTTACACTGCTGCCAGTTTGTATGGGACTTTACTATGGGGCCTGGATGCACCGGGGTACATAATGCGAAGTGCGAATACCACAGCCATGACATTGAAAGGATCCTTACTTGAAAGTCCCGGATATATTACCTACCTGGATGTCAGACCGAACAAGCTTCCAGTTATCGAGAAAGACCTCCCTCAGCTTCTGGGAACCCAACTCTTCCAGCCAGGAGTCAACTTCTCACTTACTACGAATGTCAGGCGGGGACGTCCAGAATATACGAATGCAACATTGCCAGGTTCTGGACCGAGGATTTGGCTTGATTCTGAGGGATTATCAGTTACTGTTGACACCAACGTTATGACTTCGTACATGACGAATGATACTGCGGGCCGTCTAATCCCAAATGATTGTCCAACACAATTTCTAGGGCAAACAACAACTCAATTTTGGAATTGCACGTTCAATAACACATTTGTGCAGCCTTTGCTCACTGGGACTCTTGGGCAGCCAGAAGTACATTGGGACGACGCCTCTGACATCGGCTTTGATACGCGATACATAAAACCAGATAGGAAGAGGAACATCTGGGCATCATTTGGCCAGGGAGGGGGTTCAGCGGGGATGAAGCAGATGTTCACCGTCACCAAAGGAACGAGACGCCATTCGTTCATCGAATCCACAACCCGATACACTCTTATGACCCAACCGGGTGTTCCATTCGCATCCCCAGAAGTAGATGACTTTCTGAGAAGGACGTGGAGTACGAACGTAACCGAAAGACAAGCTCCGATCCTCACAAGACTCTACAACGACCTCATGCGAGCACAAACGAGCGGAAACAGCTATCAGTTTGGACTAATAGATGCACCGACGAATATCACCAGTACCCAAGTTCTCTGGCAACTCCTCACCCCCGAATCGGACGGTCAGCCAGTGTACTCACTGATCCGAGTATCAGTAACAAACATCACCCTCATCCGATCAGAAAACATCGCCGTCGCACCGACACCCCTCAAACCTTGCGATAACACCTTCATGAACGTCGCGTACGGAGGGGTAGTCGAGGACACCGATTGCAACACCGCCAAACAGGGACAACCGACGCAGTTCTGGGGCCAAGTCGACACATCTGCCGTCCTCATAATGAGCGGCCTCGGAGATGGCCGCTCAAACATCAGTGCCCTCGCAGTCGACGAATCCATCATGCAGTGGTCAGAGAAGAACTACGCATACATGGATGACCTCCTCATCTCGCGCGGCTTCATCCTCGGCATCGACCCCTCCCTCGTCACGGTAAACCTCTCCATCCTCCGACCCGCGATATCATACTTCCAGATCTTCCTCGTGGTACTCGCAGCAGTCTTTGCGCTCGTGAATTATCTCTTAACCCGGTATATTGTTGCGGCTCACTGGACCAGCTCTCTGCTTGCGATTTTGCTGGCGCCGGTTGATGGGAGGAATGAGCCGGGGTATATTAATCCGGTTCCGGATATTCGGTTGAGGGAGGGAGCGGAGGGGGCGCTGATCACGGTGGATAATTTGGTGATGGGTGTGCAGAATGCGCGTGGTTCTGTGGTGGAGAGGGAGGGTTTGAGAAGTGATGAGGTATCGCATATGTCCCAGGAGAAGGTTGTGGTTCATGAGGGACAGGCTTTTATGATTAAAGAGTAGCGAGGGTTCGGAAGATTGTTTGTTGAGCAGTAATGGTTCGATGTAGCGTTTAATGAGATTATGTGATAACGGTACCTTTTTGTCGCATTTATCGCATCGGGGTGGCTCCCAAAGTGTTACTGAAGAGCCACTGCGATTAGAAAGATCGTAGGTTCTTGCTGGCATTAGGTTACGGTGTCAATTTCCAGACGTGATAGTCCATCATTAAGCCTTCTTGGGCTTTTGAAAAGCTTGACGTGTTGTGTATTCATTTCTTCTTTGGAAAGGGAAGGTAAATGCGATTCCTCACTCCCATGGCTCCTCTAAGCGAGAAGTGATAAAATTGTAAGACTCGAAGAGCTGAAATCCAAGAGTATGCCATCAACATCCTTCAAATCCTGAAATTCAGCAGACGTATAGCTCTCCATCTTGCAAGGCCCCGATAGTCAAAAATTTGCCACAGTTATTCTTGTCGCCACCGAAAATACATAACCGTGATAAACACCCCCAAAGTCGTAGCAATATAGCCAGCAATCGTGAAACCACCCGAAGCATCCGCCATCATAGCCGAATAGACGACACCAACCATCGCACTGACCGACAAGATTACGAACGCCAGGGTTGCGCGACCCTCCTCGTTCAGGTTCTCTTCGATGTGAATCCCCCAGCCAGACACGATGATATCAGGCTCGCTAGTTATCCTCCTCCACAAAAGTTGCTCTTCCAAGCGTTTTGGGAGACAGCTAAGCCATCGCTTTGTTCGCTTGAGGGACTCGCAATCGGGGTTTTCGAGGTAGTGGAGAAAGGAGTTGGAGGTGATGGGTGGGAGGGGGAGGTCAATGGGTGAGTACTCGTAGTGCTTTAGATGGACTTCTGTGAGGGGTGGGATTGAGGGGGCCTCGATTATGTCTGCTCGGAATGTGTCTTCGACATTAATCTGTTGTCAAGACTTTTAGCGATGACCAAAGCACTATGTGACACTTAAATCAGAAAACGTACTTTGACAAAATGCACTTTACTGGCCTTCAGAAGAAACAGTTGCGAACCCTTGCACGAAAGCCACGTACTTCGAGGTAACGGGATCTGATCCGAGAGAAGGCCTCGCTGTCTCGACATATGTCCGTCACCTCAATTTCCCCTAGTGTTTTATGGAACCTTCCGGTATTCACACAGAGAGCGAGAAACTTTCTTGTCATCCTTTTGAAGCATGTTTTGCAGCTCCCATTCAGTATTTGGCAATTGTGTACAGCCCTTCCTTCGAAATCTTCATGTGTTGGTATCTTTGGAAGTGGAATGTTGGATGAAGAGGTTGGAGTACAGGGTGTCTGAATATTCGAGGGCCCTGAACCAACAGAGGTGGTTGTTGTGACGTTAACAGGTCTTTCTATCAGTCGAGAAAGTTTGCTAATGGTTTCTGGATTTTTTGTTGCATAGTCTTCATATAACGTGGAACCACAATCCTAAATAATTGTGAAAGGGGATAAAGCGAGTTTTATATAATCATACTCACGCAGATCCAACTAAGCTGAGTGGATTCTGGTCTCCTTGAAGACCAGAACTTCGACTTGAGCCACGGCATGAAAACCAGGTAGGATTTGTACATGACTGATGAGGAGACCTGTCGACGGTCGTTTGTTTCCTGTGGAGTATCGTCTGGACACCCACGCAAGCTATTTAGTTCCAGGATATCACATTTCTCGTCAATCGTTTGGCTGTTTTTGGCTGTCTTCTTGGCCGCATCGGATTTAGTTAATTCGACGAATGTTGCTCCTTTTCTATCTCGATTCTCGTGCAATAAATGTGAAATATCCGCACACAGCTGATCGAATGGTGGACCACTTGTCATGGAAGCTTTAACTTTGCTTAAGTTCGGTAATGGATCTTCAATGTATTCTCTGTCGCTATCGTCCGACAATTCATCTAGGCCATTTTGCGAATCCTGTTCTGGAAGCTCACGGCTTGCTACATTATTCAAATAATCCTCCATACGAGTAGAAGCCTGGACCTTTTGTCGATGAAGGGCTTCCCATCTGTCATCCAAGTCGATCGCAGGTGCGCGAGGATCATGAAATGTAACGCAAGCATATGAGATTCGACGGGCGTGCGATCTCACAAGTTCACCGGCTTTATGTTCTTGTGGTTGGCTCGAGTTCACTTTGAGTGATTTGGCATAGGATTTCAATACTGCGACCAATGCTTCACCAGTTGCAATGTGGCCAAGCGCAGTGATGAGTGGCTTATAGAGGTTTTTGAGTCTGGCATATTCGGCTAGCAGACTGACCAGCTCAGCAGATACTATCTCCACGCGAGGAATTGTACTAATTGAAACGGCTGCTCTGTCAGACTCCGTCCAGATCTCACTAGGTGCCCTTGAGGAATCCGAAGCATAATTGTCATGATCTAATATAAATGCGACATCTTCCGTGCCCAGTGTAGTTGTTGATTTCCCCACCTCGATGGAGTCTCTGCGGTTATTTGGTAGAATACTCCGCTTTGAGGTCGGAATTGGCTCTGTGGTTGTTTGATATTGAAGGCTGGGCTTGTATAATGTTCGCAGCGGGGCATCGCCTTTCTTGGTCTTTTTTGATCTACTCCCCAGAATGTGATTGTTCTTCACGCCATTTCCTGACGCATCAGTTGTAGTAGGTAGAATGCTCCTAGTAGTTGCTTTTTCCATAGATATGTCAACAACAATCCCAACAGGGGTGTGGTTTATTTCACCTTTTGATTCATCATGCTGTTCACAAGAATATCCAACTAAAACCGTTCTCTCTTCTATAGAATGCCCACTGTAGCCATACGCACCGCACATATCGACGTTATGCTGGTAGTAAATACAACGACAGACAGAATACTTCTCCACAACCAAATAACACATCTTCCTCAGAAGACCTTGATCCTCAGACCAATTTGACACAAATTTTTACCAAAAACATTGAAACATTTAGGAGAGGAGGAAGGAGCAAGTTTTAGTGCGAAAGGAAGTTGGTTGTACTGATGCTCAGCCACGAGCTTTTAATTGAAGAGTGTGGCATGCATGGGCTGTGCAGGAGAACATGATCAGTCACCGCTGAGGCAACAACCAAGGTATGTCTTGTACAGCTTTGTTAGGAAGATCGAGTGAAACTGGCCCTTCTAATTGTGAGTTCCAGCCCAGTAAAGGACCCTTCAAACTTATGATAATGATGGAATCAAAATTGGATTGATGGAGGTATCTCTGCTTGCTCCTAGGTACGATTATCAGACCTCAAGACCTCGAGGCCTCGGCCCACGTGACTAAAAATCCTCTTCCATTCATCATTCCAAATTTCCATCAAATAGTTCTAGGACATTGAGGTGGAGTTTGGTAGTATTCAAAAGTGCTAATCTTGTACATTAATGTAACATTCTTACGCTAATTACTACCCTTCGTATGTAAACACTTTCAAATCAACTGCGAGAATTGATTACTCAAGTTTGGAGTAGTAATAGGGGCATAAGACTTTCTCAACAGTGATGTTTCTAGGTTCCTTACAATCAGACATTCAACACGTAAAACGAAGCTCAAATATATCAGATGTACTTCTTGTGAACAACTTTTTTTCTTTGAAAGGAGGTGAAAATAGAAGTCTTTCATCAACACAAATGGTGATATAAGTTGCGCTTGAAACTGCATAGTTAGTGAATGAGCACTCATAGTGAATGAAGTGTTTACTGGGCGAAGCGAGATTCGCTTAGCGAATGGAAAGTGGGACGGTTTCTGGAAGTCCATTCCAAGGCTGGGATAGAAGGGTGAAGAGACATATAGAGTGAAACATGAGTAGTGAAAGATTTTGGTCGTCACAGGATACTAATCAGAAGGATTTGGTGTTTGCGATTCTCTCTGGTAAGAAATTGATGTGAGGTATTGATGTAATCTAATTAATCTATCTCAATGACTATGGTTGCTCAGGCTCTGATAGTGGTTCATCCCAGTCTATAACCATGCCACTACCATGCGAGTACTCATCAATTATTTCGAAAAGCCCAGTATTACCATAACCGCTTGCTATTTCCCGGGCTGTTTGGCCGTAAATATTTGTCCGCGCAAGGTCTGCTCCACCCGATTTCAATATCATCCCAGCAATCTCCGTACAACACTGATTTGCCGCAGCCAGCAGTGGCGTATCTCTCTTTCGATCCAGGAAGTTAAGATCGCATCTTCCGGTGTCAAATAATATTTGCACCGCTTCGCTATTCCATTTCTCGACCGCTACCAGAAGCGCTGTAGCGCCGTTGTTATTCGTCCAGTTAATGTTGCATTTTCCAGTCTCCAACAGCAGTCTCACAATCGCACAACTCCAGCCTTCTTTCATTTTTCCATTTCCCGTCATGCAATAAGTTACTGCGATCAACAAGGGTGTGTTGCCATTACTTTCCATTGAGTTAAGGTCGCATTTATCGGTCGCTAGGAACATTTTCAGAATATCCACAGCTGTTGGACACTGGAGACGGATTGCCAGCAATAGAGGTGTTTCGCCCATACAATTCTTCGAGTCGATGTCACACTGACCGGTCTCCAACAGTACTCTCAATACTTCGACGGCTCCTTCACGCGCTGCCAAGGACAGCGGCGTGTTACCAGCAATATTCTTCGAGTTGATATCGCACCCGGGAATCTGTAAAAGTAGTCTAACCACGTCCACTTGATTGGATCGCGCAGCCAGTGACAGTGGAGTATCGCCTGTGGGATCTTTGATGTTGACAAAGCACTTGTCCGTATCCAATAAAAGTTTCACAACAGCCGCATGCCTCCCACGAATTGCCAATGAAAGCGAATCGCAGTCAGCAGGTCAAGTAATATCACACCTCCCAGTCGCGATTAACAACTTGACAATCTCCAGACACCCTTTTGATATAGCCTCTGAAAGTGGTGTATTGAACTCGATGTCCCTCCTATTGATGTCACATTCTTCGATTTCTATTAGCATTTTGACTACTTCCATGTGTCCCATCGAGACTGCTAGGAGAAAGGGTGTTCTCCCAAAATCATCTGAGCAATTGATATCAAATTTCCCGGTTTGTAATAGTATCTTAACTAGTTCCGTATGCCCTTTGTGGGCAGCCTCAAGAAGCGGGAGAAACCCCCGCGTAACACTGCTGTCGATGGTATATTCTAGCAGTAGTCTCAATATTCCAGCATGTCCGCTTGTAGCGGCATGCCAGAGGGGACCCTTGACATATTCATTTGTTGAATTAACGATAGCTTTTCCATATTGAATTATGAGTTTGGCTACTTCTTCATGGCCTTGCGCTGCGGCGCTACAAAGAGCACTTTGAATGAGCAAGGGGTCGCTGGCAAATAGGTCCGCGCTTGAAACTAATTTGACCCAGTCTGACTTCCCATGATAGGTTGCGTTGAGCAAGAAGTCTTTCATTGAGGTTTTGATAGACGAATTATCAACCTTTTCAGACCTATGAAAAATCTTAATGAGTGGAAGCTTTCGGTTCTTGAGAGCCCATGAAAGTAAAGTTTCTGTACTTTGTGAAGTAATTTCACGGCGGTTTTCGCGCACGCACTGAACCGCTTCTTCATGCTCGCTTTCCGTAAAAAGAGAAGACCCTGCTGCAAGAAAGGTACGAAGTGCCAAGTCACAACTATTGGCTATAGCTGCATGTACTGGAAAGCCATATCGCTCTCCCTTGATATCCATATGCGGAACTCTGGCGAGTTCGAGACGAAGTAGGTTCGACAAATCCCTTTCCGCGAAAATATATAATAGACTCCCATCCGGAGTGTAGCGGCGGATCTGAAATTTCTCCAGAAGGTTTCTGGTAAGAATCCAGGCCTTGATATGATATTTCAATCTGGGCACTGCGAGTACGGGAGTAGAGCAGTGGGTGTTGGGAAGGTGCATATCGGATCCTCCGATGGCCAGAAGATCGTCGAGAAACCCCAATTGCTCCACTCCATTTCCATGTGAGCAATCCGCGTGGTAGAATATATTTTCTGTTACGTAGTGAAGAAATGGAAACGTTTGGTAGACTATTTGGCGAAGACTTGCAGCTTCTTCCGTAGATGCCAGAGGAAGTTTTTCGGGTATATAGTCAGATTTATCAAATTCTAGGTACATCAAACAACAATCCTTCAGCGCATCGTGACTCTGCCCTGGGATGTTTTTGAGACCAGCACGGAGGGTTTCGAACCCTTTTCCTCTGAGGAGGTAGTCTCTCACAGACTCGTGGATGGACTGAACAGTTTTGTTTTTTGATTTTGTGACACCCGCAAGCCCCTTGGATGAGCTTAGAATGAAGCGCTCCATGTCTTCGAGACAAATCTCGTCAGGATCTCACGGTCCCATTGCCCCATCAGTAGTGCTCAGAATGGCATAATAGAGTTCTTCGCGTTTCAACGGCCTTTTTGCGAAGAGTATCCATTGAAGACAAAGAATCAACTCCTCCATATTATGGCCATCCCTAGTCAGGATATCCGAAAACAACTCATCCAGTCCGTCCGGTATTTCGTCTAGGCGCCTTCGAAGTGCGTGCATACGACCTGAGCGAAATTCGCTGTTGAGGATTTTGACAACAAGGACAACCCAAAGAAAAATACTAGAAGCGCGCTCAAAAATCTCTCCCTTTATCTGCTCAATTTGTTTGCTCCGACCAGCTTTCAGCTCGCTATTTATGTAGTTCGTTATATCCTGTTGATGGCCCTCCTCGCCCTCGAGGATGACCTGTATACCCTTTTCGATGGTGATGTGAGGGTAGTGACGACTTGAAAAACATACATGGAGACGAGTTTGGGAGGCGATTGCTACCTCCCCTATGCTTTCAAAAGACTTGACCATATCTAGAACCTGATCATCATCACATTCATCTAAGGCGTCGATAAAGCAAAACAAGGTACGCTTGCCAGTGCATTCAATTGCCCGACTGAATAAATGTTTCACCGTTTCAATATCCCAATGAAAGGCCCCATCAGGATTTTGTGGTCGCAATCCTGCCAATTCGAAAACATGCTGCAGCTCAGGAATTTCCTCAAGAAGTTGAAACAATAAAGCACGGTACATCCCAGTTGTCGATTTTTCTAGATCGTCGCCTCTAGCGTTGAAGAAGGATATTATAACAGTGCCTGCAGTCTCCCTAGTTTTTTTGACGACGCTATGGGTAAATTTCATTATGGTTGACTTCCCAGTAGCTGGTTTCCCTTTGATCCACAAGAAGCCATGATGGTCCCCTGAGGGATCTTTGAGGCATCTAGCCAGTCTTGGTATTGGTGGGTTTTGAGAAACCATCGGCATGTTTTGGCATGTGCACTCTTGATGGTTGCGTGACGAGCATCAATTTGATTGAATGCCAGGGAATCCAGATAAAACTGTCGATTTTCCGCATTGAGAGGCACTTTCCGACCTGTTGGAACTTGTTTTATGGGAGTCATTGCCAATACTCGATTGAGAGCCCCGGCGACCTTTTTGTATTCGACATCTTCTAGCCCGTTAAATCTGCACATTTCCATGTGGTTGGATGCAATGTGTTGAGTAGTCTCACAAGTCGAGTCGTTCAAACAAGAGGCTGTATCCTCAACCACCTAGTACAATTAGTCTATATACAGGAAGAATGGTTTTAATGCAATCACCCTGTTTCCACCCAGAGCTGGAACTCCGTACTGTTCTTGAAAATAGTAAGTAATCCAGCTCCTCCGATGTGCCATCGGCCCAAACTCGTCTCGCAATTCCTTAAGGCGCTCAGATGATGGCAAGAGTGTATCGACAATTTGTCTGCTGACTGAAAACCCGGCGACCTTAATTACCCTCTCAGCAATGTGTTGAAGTGGCCCTCTGGGATCTGCTCCACTATGGGGGGTACCAAAGAACAAGATACCAGATGTCGATTCGTAAGTGTTGCGAAGATGGATTTGCGTAAACTCGAAACCCCGCGAACGACGAAGAGTCTCCTTCACAACGATTCCTCCAAGGCTATGGAACAATGAAAACCAGCGGCCTAAATGGTTGTGTCCGGCGTTCAACTTCGAGTGCAATCAAGAAGTCGTACGCTATGTCGTAAACGGTTTGCTGGTTGATAGGATTGCCGAATTTATGACGAACATTTGTGTCATATCCGAAAGTCATCACACGTGCTGTATTGTTAACTGTTGTAGGAAGAAGATCTCTAGGCCAGTAAACGCTTTTGCGAGCACCTTTGCCGCTCAAGAGTTTCCGAAATTTCGAGGGGCGTTCGCCATCATCCTCGTGCCCAACTTGATCATACTGGCTTTGAACTTCTCCCTTATGAGTCCAAGTGCGTTCAGGGTGGCCGGTAAACCCGTGGACGAATACAATACTGGAAATGGTTACTGTGCGGTCCAAAGTACAGCAAATAGATTACTCTATGTTAGGGCTTTCAGGATTCACAATGACCGAGAGGCCCGTCGTGCTTGGGCTGGTTGCTGTGTCCTCCGTGATCTGCAAATGATCACAAGAAGAAAAGGTTCGAGTGCGACGACAACCTGACTCGTTGCAAGATCAAGATACACCAATTGCGCTACATAAGGATCGTCGAAGTACTCGTGAATTAGTGATAACGAGTTATCTCCGTAAACAACTCGATGAGCACTGCGAATAACGAAACAAAGCCCCATGGAGGGGCAGAAAGTCTGGAGATTTCAGTCGGTCAGTAACACTGGTCTGCACGATACAATATAACTACCCCCAAACACAACAAGACAGCTCAATCCCTCAGCGTCTTCGTTGTCATACGCTCATCAGGTCCCAAAAAGCGTGATATCAACTTTCATCAATCCGATCGATCAACAAAATAACTCAGCAATGAACAGCTCAATCATTGAGGAACTCAAAAGCTCCCGACGTCGAAAGGGAAGTGAAAAGTTCCCACCAAGACGAGGCTCTCGTGATGTCGCAAGCCGAGAAGTGAGAGGACCGATTGAGGCTTAGTGAATGCGACGCGATGTTGCTGACTGCATCGCTGCCTGCGTCGCATTGTGGCTCAGCTCGCCGACCAATTGTAGGTGCAGCAAAGACGTCTCTGCAGGACAACTCATGCTTCCCAGTGAATGGCTGAGAGAATTTGAATCTCGGTGTGAAAGGTTTGTAAGGACTGGTGGAATTTTACATGCCCGGATCAACCTTCCGTCAATCTGTATTGAGGGTTAGCTTAGGCGAAGTTGGCAGGCTCACTCGCAAATGGAAAGGAAGGGAAGGTGCTACCTGCGATATCATCAACAAATCGTATCCGTTATCGCAAGCCTACTGGCCACTGCTCTACTATAGTTTCTTCTTTTCTCATCATTCAAAAGCACCACATCATTCAATATTCAGGCAATCCATTCAGTCCATTGAACTAAATCTAACTGTCTGATCTCAACCACACCGATGTCATCTGTTTGTTGTAGCCATCTGAATCTCTATGCTCGCTCACATCGCCACCAGCATCAAGTCAATTATCCTCTCCCATCGAGTTCATTCATTTATGAGTTTTGTAGTGTAAGATCAAGTGTCATTTCCCATGCAGCCGCAAAAAACTTTTCGTGAGAGTTAGACATAGTCAAAAGGCCAAAGTTTTCCGGCACCAGCCTCGTTCTAGCTTGTGAGAAGATAAAAACGGTATCGGCGGTCCAGTCTAGTTGGCAGGAAGATGAAGAGCAAAGAAAAAAGCAACGCAAGCCAGTCTCCCCAGGTACCGGGAGAGAAAATGTTTTCGTGAAAAAAGAAAAGGAAATCGTGCCAAAGTCGAGTACAATTATACAAAGAAGGCCGTATTGTGTCGTATCATCGTATCGTCGCAAATCCTCAAATCAACGTCTGCAAGCCACCACCCTTTCTGAATGCCTGGGGTTCGTAATCTTGGTTCATCGTTCGCAAAGCATCTTCTCGGAAATTTAGAAAGCAAATCTCGATAGTTTGAGAAGGTCGGCACTTCGGTGTATTATTCGTGCTGAATCTTTAGTTAGGGCATTGAGCCTGGACGTGACCAGGTTGCTTGCACTTATAGCAAGTACGCTCGCTGGATGTCTCAGATGGGCAATCGCCTAGAATGGTATTAGTATTAGGAAATGAATTTAGGACGGGAAAACCTACGGCTCAAATGACCAACCTCGCCACAGTTGTAGCACTTTTGTCCTTGTGTGCAATCACGGGACATGTGGCCGTAACCACCGCAAGAGTAGCAGGTTTGACCACCTTGACGACCACCGAAGCCGGATCCACCACCGTATCCACCCTGTTGGCCTCCATATCCTCCACCACCGTATCCGCCAGCCTCAGGGCAGTTACGGGCGATATGGCCAATCTTGGAGCACTTCATGGATCGTTAGAATGGCCACATGAAGGACTGTTTGTTTTTCAATTACCTTGTAGCACTCTTGGTTGCCACCACCAGATTGGTAACCACCGCCACCACGTCCGGCGCCCTCAGAAGCTGGGTTGGTGCACTCGCGGGAGATGTGTCCAGGTTGACCACACTGTTAATGTTAATATAGTCCATATAGTGAGGAGGAGGCTTGTAGTACCTTGTAGCAAGTCTTGTCCTTTGGTCCCTCAGGACATTCACGGCCTATTGATCTGTCAGCAAATGACTTAGCATTGGAATCCAAGGTGAAGCGTACTCATGTGTCCCTCGCCTGTAACAAGAAAAGAATCTAGATCAGTCTGATATTCGAATTGAAAGTGTTGCGTTTCGACTTACCGCCGCAGTTGTAACTAGTTCGAGTCAGTATTGGAACGAAGAAACCAGATTTGGGGGTTCTTACCACTTGGCTGGGCCTCGGGTTGGGCAGTCACGGGCCTAGAGTTACGGGTTAATATCGCAGGAACCTTTGCGAAAGGTTCAGTTAGCGCTCGTACCTGGTGAGAAGCATCGCCACCTAAAATCCGAGAGTCAGCTTCCATTTGTGCACATGTATGTATAATTGTAGACATCGACTACCAGGTGTCGGTGATAGCGCATTTATTGGTCTCAGATCGAAATCCTTGTTAAAGAATTTTCACTCCCAACTGGCAGACCGCCACTCATCGTGTTCGAAGGCAAAGCGGACGCCATGTCAGCGCGAATGGAGAACCACCGCAGGCGCCGTCTACTTGATGCCAAGAGAACGCTTCGAGGATGAAAGTAGAGGCTGCGCGCAAAGCGGTATAGGAGGGAGATGAAGTTGTTGGTAAACTCACAGTTGTAGCAGCCTCGGGATTGGGGAGCACCGTAGGAATCCATGATGTTCAGTTGAGAGAGTGGTTTGCTGTTGCGCAGGAGGAATAGGTCAGCTTCAGTTGAATGGAGGAGAATTTTGTGATGCGACTTGAGGAGGAAGAGTCTGCGAGATGTGGAGAGTCGCGCTCAAGGTGGGGTTGCGAGGGCAAAACAAGGAATAGGAAGGGAGGGTAAAGCTGCGCGGGGAGGGGAAGCTGAAGTGAACGCACATGTGTTTCTGGGTGGAAGTTGAAGAAGTGTTCTGTACGAGGTGTACAGCGGAGGAGATATGTCAGAGGCGAAGAGTTGGTTGTTGATGTTAGGAAAGGAGGGGGTTGTTCATGTAGAGGAGGTTGTGGGAGGTTGGAGGAGGAAGGCGAAGGGAGCAAAAGATATCAAGAAAAGAAATTCGCTTAAAGTTTTGGCCTCAGTGGCCGCTAGTGGGGTACTTGCGGGTGAGGAGGGGGACGGTGCCGGAGATCAAGGGGTCATTTTAAGCCGATACCCTCGCTGCCCCTCTCCTCTGCTTGAGTCCGCCTCCCCAGCCCCTGTTTGCAGGTAAATCATTGGGTACGATCTGTGAGAGAATGTGATGGTAAGGTCAATTCACACCGGATTCTGAATAATGTGCTCAGGTACCTCACAGGAACAGCAATTCAAGACGGCAAAGTCACTTCTTACCGTGGCGTAGCGTGGCGCAAGGGGTTTAACCGTAAAATAAGAGTTTTCCGTTCCCCGTAATCTGGATAGCTTCATCTTGAAGCTTTTCATGCAAACCGCTCCCAGCCCAACCACCACCTGCGCCAAAAGCAACTCTGCGAGCTGCCGTGTAAGGTGCCAGATGGTGGTGATGGATGGCTGCACCAGTTCAGAATTCCGGCTGGGGCGGGGATCTTGAGACATGTGCAACTTCATCTTGCAGCCCTCACCTTCTCTCTACGGTTCCTTGCAGAGCTCCAGCAACCATCACGGCCGCATATGAGGCCTCCTCATGGCTAGGACGTGGCATTCGAAGAGCAGTCATGCATTGTGCCTTCCCTTTAACCGCTGATGGAACAGGTCGTCTACAAGCTGGTAGCTAGCCACGATGAGCTATATATCTGAAGAGCCGGGTCAACATTATCTTCTACACATCTGTCAGGATTCTTCGAATCCTTTTGGCATATCTTCCTCATCTTTATTGCTTCTTATTCAATGTTCATTGATGAGACGAAAAGGAGGTGTTTTGTACGACCTGAAGCAGAAAGCCATAAAGCTTGGAGCAATCTGAATGGCTGTAGCGCTGGATCTTACCAGACCGAGTAGCGAAAGAGAAAGTACAGCCGTGTTTCTCAAGGAAAGCTTTGTCAATTCATTATATATAGGTAACTCATACCGATCTGGCCGCAAACCGGTTTATCGTTCGCCTACTTTGACCTCTACTAAAGAAGTGCCTGATTTGATTGATACTGCAACTATTATTTGCTCCGTGCTAACTTGTTGACTTGACTTAACACATCTACAGCCCGCCGGGCTTAGTTTCCGGAAGAGGTGTATTTTCATATGAATAGCGGGAGTGTTTTGTAAAGGCCTCAGACCTCTATGACCCGCTATTTAGCAATAACTTCCAATCAAAAGACTGTATTACAAGTGAAATAACCTTTGGTATATTCGAGCCGAGTTTCTATACCTAGGTAAAGATTGGTCTACCTATTTAACCCTTTTCAGGAAACTAAGCTTGGGGTGCTGTAATTTCATACCTTCATCTTCGCACTAACCCTTAAAGCTGCCAAGCGTCCCTTATCCATCCCCTTCGCAAATTCTCTAATATCTCCCACTAAATCCTCAGGTCGCTCCACAGCCGGGAAATGTCCCCCTTCATCATGTACGTTCCAAGAGACGATTCTCTTCGCAATCGTAGCCTCCGCCCAGACTCTCGGGACTTCCACCACCTCCTTGGGAAACAAACTGGCTCCAAAGTCCTGGTTTCGAATGATCTGATTGTTAAACCAAAACTGGGCGTTGCCTCGCGGGTCTTTTCGGTCTCTGAACGCCGTATAAATTGAAGCTTGAGCTGATGTGCCAGGGATAATAAACATCATTGCCCATGTTATGACTTCCTCGTCAGAGAAAGTGTGTGTGTCGACTAGGTGGTGCATTTTATCGAGAATCCAGGCGAGCTGTCCCATGGACAAGTCGGCGAGGGAGTAATATAGTATTTGAGGTTTCGTGGATTGGATTTCGCTGTAGCCTGTTGAAGAGGTGAGCATGTACTTCAATTCATGAAAAGAAATGTATGAGATCCTACAAGTCCAGGCTGTACAAGTCTCCTCCTTCACCCACCATTTCATTCGAGCCACTAGTCCATCGCTTTGTTTCCCTGTCCACGCTGTCCATATAAAGAACTTTAGGTATGACTAAGGTTTCCATAACCAGGAAGGGGGTATCGTTGTCAACATGTTTACGTGAAGGCCTAGTACGTTCTCAGGATTTTTGATAGCTGCGAAACGGGAGATAATACTTCCCCAATCACTGAGCTACGTGTTTTGGATATCCCAGAGCGAGCATGAGTTTGTTGCCTATTTTCTTTATTGCATGTAGAGCTAGTACCAAGCCATATCAAGCAATATCAAGCAGTATTTTGTTTTTCATAACGCGCTGCCCTCAACCCCATGGACGATTATGGAAAACATGTAATTGCATTCTACATCCAACTCATGGCGGATAAAAATCGCCTAAGCAGCGAATGACAATTGCGATGAATGACAAATACGACGGTGTTCATCCAAACATTTATTGACATCTCCTAAGGGTAAGTTGGATGTGCATTGTCTGCATCGGTTGATATAGATATCCAGTTGACATTTGCAGTTGACAGGAATCAATTTGATTGGATTGTTCTCTGAATGCAATACAGCAGGAATAGACAAATGTGTGCTGCTTGTGTGCAAAGTCAGCTCCTAGTAGAACGGATCACACACGATAAATATAACCTTGAAATGCTGCTCACAGAAGGGCGTACCTAGGTAGAGCAAGTGCAAATTGGCAAAACTTGGAGTGATGCAAGTGTAAAAGTATAAAGCTTACTTACCTATGCACATCACGCCTCCAATCACACATCCTCATTATGGCTCCGTTCTTTCCGCTTTTTCCGCTCCTTCCAGTCTGGCATAGACCCACTTCTGTCGCAATTCCAACCAATCAAAAGGGATCGGCCCCGCGCTCTAGAACTTGGCTCTTTCAAGCTTCCTGACCTCTTGAATCTGAACTACTGACTCTCAACCCCTCCTTTCCTTCTGTCACCTCTAACCTATCCATATCTCGCACATCTACATCTACAGCTTCTTAGAGGGAGCTCCCCTCATTTTCCGTTGAAATAACATCATTTGCCCTTGATCTGCTGCTGTCAACGCAGTTTCAATGGGCCCTCCTTCGGAATCCTCTCGTTTACAGCTGTCGATTCTTAGCATTGCTGCTTTTGATAGTTTGTCTTCTTTGGCTTCATTGTCAACTTCGAATCTGGTTTCTGCCGATAGTGGGGATCGAACTCCTGAGAATCACAAAAGAGCATCATGGTTGTCTTCGTTGAATTGGATGACGAAAGCGAGCCTCCAGAGGATATCAGATTGAGGCCACATTGGGATAGAAATGGACATAATACTGGAAAACCCCTCGGGCAGTTTGGCGTTGGAAACCTCAGCATAAATGAAGGTAGCAGCGCGGCAAACGACGATGTGGAACTTGAAGCGATCACGGCTACGCAGGAGCACCAGAGGATATTGGTGGCAGAAGCGTTGGGATGTTATCCGTATGTTATGATGAGCCCAAATGGAATTCTTTGCATTTTGCACAACGTGTCACTGTGAGAACCCCAAATGGATACTGATACTTCTTGATTTCTGCAGTGTTGTCATCTCCATCGCGTCACACATCGATTTAAATACCCTCGATGCCCTTGCGCAATCTTGCCGTCAAGTTCGTGCGAGCCTCATACAATACCGCAAGCAACTACTCTCCTCCACTTTGCATTGTGAGAATGAAGATGTTGAACCCGACCCAGAGAATACGTTACGTTCTCGAGCTAGAGCCGCAACTTGGTACTTTGTGAAGACGGGAAGGGAGGGAGGAAACGGCAAGATCGGTGATTGCGCTCGAGACTTGGTTGGTGGCTGCCGTAGGTGTAATAGAGTTGTTTGCAGAGTTAGTACTTTCTACAGAATCTATTCTGGCCTGTACGACGCTAAAGATGAATCAGAATTGCACAATAAAACCACCATCGTCAGGCCTTCTCAAACATCGCCATCGACGCCTTTGCGCTGCTTGCTCCAAGGCCCCACTCTCCTCCCTTGCGAGCTCCTCTAGTACCAATGGTCCAAACCGCGCATCCGAGTCCACCTCTCCAATCAACACCAATATGCTCAAACTTGCACTTTGCAACTGTGCCACTGAAGGTGTTTGGCTCTGCCAACCTTGTGGCAGAAGCTTGCGGAGCGCAGACTCGGAGTACGAAGGCGTATGGAGGTGGCGCACAAGATATCTACCATCTCTTGGTGGTTTGGGGGTCGGTATTGGGGAAGGAGATCGTGGAGTCGAATGTAGCAGAGGCAAAGAATGTATCGCTGCCAGAGAAGTTGAGCAAGAAACCGACTGTGATGCTGAAGATGCTAGGGAGATTGAAAGCAGAGCTGCAAGCCCATCATCAAGTCCATCAAGTCCACCAAGCTCCAATGGTAGCTCCATCAATGTCAATGGTCATATTGGTCCTGGATATGCGCGACATGAGATTGAAGGAATTGGAGGTGTTTTAAAGAAGAAATTGGTCACTATGGTCAAAGTTGGTGCTTGCGTCCCAGAGTGGGGCGATGAAAAACAACAAGGCAGGTTCCTAATTAGAGAGGCTGAAGGAAGAGCAAGGAGTTGGTGCGGTTGGTGTTGGAGAGCTGTACCTGGCGCAAAGGATGTTCTTGAGTGATGCGTCGTATTTTTTTGGTTGCTCCTTTGATAGGATGTAAGTACACAAAAAGGGGTTTACAGATGGGATGGTTAATGTAACCATCGCCCACATAAAACATCCAAATGCATCATTACATATCGCCCACAGCTATCTCATATTCTCCTCGCAATACCCTGATTGCTTTTACATTAGCTACCTTTATTTCCTGTGCTGGAACTTTCGCAATAGATGTTTGGTTACATCAGGGATGAGAACTACCCCCTCACTCAGCCATCCATTCTTCACTCGCTTTGATATTCAATCCCATTGGTTTTCGGTTCATTCTCAGTTAAGCCCCTTTTACCCCCTTTTTTAAGGTAGATGATTCACTGTTGATATGAATTATATGTATGGGGAAGTGAGTTTTAGTTGGTTGATTGATTTAGTGGTGGTGTATTGTTTGGTGTTGGTGTTCTGAGAGGTTTTGTAAGGTAGCTTTTATAAGGTAGAGGGAGAGGAATCTTTTATTTGTTTGTTTTATAAGTGGTGAGATGTTTAGTTGGAGATTTCTGATTGTGTCTTTTGGATTGTTATATTTGGGTCTGTGTGGGGATTAATGTGTACTGGGAAATTAGGTTCGATCTTGGATGGGATGGGTATAATAGCTTGTGGTGAAGTAATACTGTATCGCCTTGAAAGATGTGTGAAGTTCTCCAAGGGCCTCGAAAGTCTTACTTAATATTCGTCGTCTAGATTTCTTGTACTGGAATGATGGAATCACGTTTTATAACATATACTTTGAAGCGTCTAGGATTTTAATATGTGTTGTCTAGATAATCAAATGCTATTTGCATTATAATAAACCAGTTTCTTGATATTTATTACCTAGATATCTTTTGATCTCCTTTGTGCTAGGCTTAATTCTGTCTACATATCCTACAAAAATTGCAGTCCTCTCACACCGATCGATTCGACACCGCTCAGTTATACGTATTATTATTATTCCTTTTAACGTGCTGTGTGAGTCTGAGACTATAGTAGCACGGCTGGGGGTTTCCCTCCAACAGATGAGTAAAGCTGTACTAAATACATGTTTGAGAAGGGGGTTATGGTCATTACAGTTCTTGGGTTGTTGGAAGCAGCTAGGCTTCTGGTTATGACA